CCACAGGTTCTGATAGCTTGTGTGTTCATTTTCATTTGAATCTTGGAATTCCCTAATTTCTTTTCAGATTTCTTCAATGACGCAATGATCATCAAAAGTGTATTGTTCAATAATCTTCATGAGTTTGATTGTTTTGTGGTTTTGCTTGTTATTGCTTTCTCATTTTATTCCATTATGGTTTGTTAGGATACAAGGGATTATTTCAGTGTTTTTGTATTTGTTGGGGTTTGCTTTATGACCTAGGATGTGGCTATTTTGGAAAAAGTTCCATGGTCTGCTGAGAAAAATGTGTACTCAAAGTCATAGAATGAAATACTGTATAAATGTCTGTTAAGTCCATTTCATCCATGGTTTTGTTTAGTTCTAGGATATCTTTGCTGATTTTTTTTGTCTGGATGTCCTTTTGAAGAGAGTGGGGTATTGCGATCGCCCACAATTATTATATCTGGTCCTACCTGTTCCTTTAGCTCAGAAGTGTTTGTTTTATGAACATGGGGCCTCCCATGTTCGGTGCATATATATGTAGAATTATTGTATCTTCTTGCTGGATTGTCCTCTTTATTAGTATGTAGTGTTCCTGTTCATCTCTTTTGACTGATTTTTTGCATAAAATCTGTTTTGTCTAATATGAGAATAGCTACTCCTGCTTGGTTCTTTGCTTATTTCCTCTTAGCCAATTTGTCTTGTTTGACTGTCTCTCTCCTTTTTTTTAATTCTCTATTTTCCAGTTATTAATATCTAGAACCCTCTCATACTGCTGTCTTTTACACCTCCTTCCGCTTCTTCCCACTTTCCCCCTTCCCTTCTCCACTCCCATCCCACACAATGCGCAATTTCCAATCCTTATACCTTTCAACCAGTGTTAAGCTCCCAGATCATTCTAAAATCAGAATTTTGCCCCCGTACAATCTTATTGGAAAGACAGATTAGGGCTTCAATTGTTCCTTACACAATCAAATATTTGATTTATTTCTGAATTGTTTACTTCACTTCTACAGTAGGTTCTGTACTCACCCAAGGAAGTAAAAGGAATATTAGACCAACAGATGTGCAAAAAACAATGTGCAGAAATTTAAATATGAAAAACCAAGGCAATGGCTGACCTCCAGACTTCCACCTCAGCAACTCAACATCTGAATCCACAGATAATGAATTGACCAAAATGTCAGAGAGACAATTCAGAAGCCTACTGTTAAAAATGATAGAGAACTTAAGGCAGACTCCAATAAACAGGTATATGAAGTTAGGAAATCAATCCAAGACCTTGACAAGGAAGTCAGCAACATGGAAGAGAAATTCGCAAGGAAATGGAAATTGTGAAGAATAATCAAGTTGAAATGTTAGAAATAGAAATCTTAATAAATCAAATACAAACCACAATGGATAGTATTATCAGAATCAAACAGAAGAAAGCGTATCAGAGATGGAGGACAAGATTGAGGAGCTATTGCATTAAACAATCATTAAACAAATTAATGCCCATGAATGCAACATTCAAGAACTCTAGAACATGATCAGAAGACCAAACCTAAGAATTTATGGAGTAGAAGAAGGAGATGAAATACAAACTAAAGGCATAGGAAAACTATTCAATGAAACCATAGCAGGAAATTCCCCAAATGTTTGTAACAATATAGACACCAGTGTGTATATTCCAAACTCCCAATAGACATGATCAGAAAAGAACAAGCCCATGACATACCATAACTAAAATGCCAAATCTAGAAAACAAAGAAAGGATACTGAAAGCTTCAAGAGAAAAATGCCGGCTCACATACAAAGGTAAACACATAAGAATCACATCAGATCTCTCAGCATAAACTCTAAAAGCCAGGAAATTTGTAAATTTGTAAATGGTGACTTTAAAAATATGTTCCCATCGTTGTGGTTATTACATCTCTGTGCTTATTTGTCTTCTTAATCATCACTGCATGAAACTCTGTGGTATTCTACATAAACATCTTGATACTTGTAATACTTGCTGTATGTGTATTGTGAGCCAAATTGTCACTAAATATTTTCTTAAAAATTTCTTGTAATTGTTTTTGGTGAATATATAGGTATGCTACTGATTTTGCATGACTTAATGCTTTATTCAACAACTTTGAACCTGTTCTTTTTAAATTACAATAAAGGACTAATTTTTTTTTCTTAAACCTCTTTCCTCTCTGTACCACAGTATAATCTGGGTGAAAGCAGAGGCCCTATCTTTCTTATTCACTTCCATATCCCACTGACACATAGCAGGGGCTCAATAGATATCTGCTCAATGAAATCATGAATAAACTCCCAATTCTGGACAGAGAAAACAGTGCATGCACAGCACACCGAGGTTGCCCCTCATACACTGCTGTCTGTGGGCCTGTGTGCCACCTGGCAGCTGGATCCCCTCACTCAGCTTGGCCCCCGACTCAAATGACTGTGCACTTCAGTGCACTGGGCCTTTGCTCTCTTCTCTCTTCCAAGCCAGGCAAATTTTATCTGCCCTTAAAGGTTTGCTCTGATCTCAGTCCTTCTGGGAAGGTTTCTTGGACTTCGATGGATCCAGACAAACAAAAAGAAGTAACAAACAAGAATTAAAAGTAAACTCTGTGCTCAAACGGAGCATAAGCCTAAGGGAAAGCACCTACAGTGATGTGGAAATATACACAGAGCAAATGGTATTATGGTGGGCACAAAGTGCTCTTGCAGTCTCGGAAAGGGAATTAATTTATGAGTAACAGATAGAAAACAGAGACCCACCAATACATCATCATGTCAACAATCAGGAGGAATAGAAACACTAGATCCAGCCACCCCCACACTCAAACAGTGAGTCAGAGAAACAATGAGGACAACGCTGTGTTGTGTATTCATGCTGCTCATTCCTGTGCAGTTTCTGAGGTGCTGTGTTTTGTGAGTGAAAGCAACATATATTTGAGTCTTTTATTCCAGAGTTTTAAAAATCACTTCTGTTCCCCCCTCTGAGAAATGTTTTACGAGTTCCCATTTCTGATGAACGATTTTGCTGTGATTAAAGATTTCATGAAGTTATGACAAAGCAGAACAGATCTTCATTCTCGGAAGCTCATTTTCCTGTGAGCTGAGTAAAGAGGCCTCTTGTAGGCAACTGTCAGAACTAATGAGTATTTTCCAAGTGTGGAACCTCTGGGGAAGATACTCCCTCCCTTCCTTCCTCCCTCCCCAAACCCAGAATCAGCTGTGTGAACCTGTCACCTAAAGATGTGTAGCACCATGTCGACACCAAAGTCTATACCAGACCGGCGATGGTGACACTTGCCTCTGACTTCCTCGCTCAAGAGGCCACACGTACGCATGACCTTCCAAAGGGCATTTGATTTCTTGGGTGTTTTGTCCAAGAGGGAGGCAAGGATTTGCTGATTATTGGAAAAGCCAAGGCAAAGGAATGGAGGTAGGAGGGCAGACGTGCCAGGTTCCAAAGCTGCCTGCACTGACGTTTCAGATGCCCATGGCCCTTGAACAGCATCTGAGTCTTTGTGTATCGATGGGTGTGAGCTCTGAGTGTGCCCCTGCACTACCTTGCACATCAGTTCCCTTCTCGGGAGGAAGCAGAGGACAGAGGTGGCCTTGGAGCCCAGGTCCCCGTTTGCTGGGAGTGTGAAGCATCTTGAGTTCTGAGTCTGGAGACTTGAGCACCACACCAGAATGTTGGTCCTCTTTTGGACTTCCCTCCCTTGGGGCAAGTGAGGTGGCCATGGCAGGACTGGCAAGAGGCTGCACCAAAGTGTAGGCAGCTTTGGAACCTGGCACGTCTGCCCTCCTACCTCCATTCCTTTGCCTTGGCTTTTCCAATAATCAGCAAATCCTTGCCTCCCTCTTGGACAAAACACTCAAGAAATCAAATGCCCTTTGGAAGGTCATGTTTTGAAGTCACACCAAGCTAGAAATGACCAGAGTATAGATCTTTGTTTCTGAGTCTCTCTCTTGCCCCCTAACAAATGATTTACCCTGCTCCTTCAAGGACAGTACTCTGTTGCTGTCCTCTCTGTCTGCTTCTGTCATGAGCATGGCTGTTCTGTAGCTCTGCAAATGTTTATCAATTCCCTGTCATGTGTTTGCTGGGATCTGGGTATTTGGAATACTGTATTTGTTTTAGGCAAGCATTCAACTGTAATGGAAACCTAACAATAGTGACTACACAAATGAAGCATGTGTTGTTGGCTTTTTAAAAATATTTCACCCATGTAGCTAAATCAGTTTAGAGGGCGGAAGCATGTAGGGCTGCCATAGCTGTCCAAGGATGTCCCAGGTTCTCCTGCTTCTCCTGGCCCAGCCATCTGTATTCTGTGGTTTTGTCATCCTTGTCTCTGAGTGGGATTGCTCAGCCCAAGGCACCTCCTAGGGAAGAAGGTAGGGGAGGAGGGAGGTTGAAGGGTAGAAGCCTCTACCATCACAGCATTGTCTTATCTGGGGTAGAAAGTCTCCAAAGCCTGTGTCTTCTTGGCTAGAAGTTTGCTACACCAACTACTCGCAGCTGCAAGGAGCAATAGAAACTTGGATATTAACTATCCCTCTCTGCAGCAAACAAAGGTGTGTGTGGGGGGTTGGGTGGGTGTTAAGTACCTGCCTAGCTTGAAGAGGAGTGAGGTGGATTCCCCCATCAGAAAATCGTGGGACAGTTAGAACCTGCTTCTTCACCCTCCAGTGCCCAGCATCTTCTACAGGGTCTGGTAGCTGAATCAGACCTAGTCTTTATTGAGTGACTCTGTATACAAAATTTGGATGATCTTACTAAAGAGTCATCTGTTCTAGACCTCATCCCATGCTGAGGTTAGAGAATTGAGTTACCTTCCAAGGCCACTGGTTTGTAAAGGGCATGGCTAAGTTGTAAGCCCATGTCTGGGGGCATTTGGCATTTTGATAAATCACACTTCTGCACATCTTCAAATAGTGGAAAACCCTTGGAGAGGATGAAAGGCAAAGTTGTTCGTCTGTAGCAGAAGGAGGGATTCTAAACTTCCTTTTGTTTTTTCACACAGTACCCGGAGGTGCCATCTTCTCCTGGATGTCCTCAACTCCACGGAGCACGAGCTGACGGTCAGCGCCAGGAGCAGTGAGGAGCTTGTCCTGCATGCTGGCGAGTGCCAACGGTGAATGTTCTGGGAAGGTGGGGCAAGGCCAGGGTGTGGTGTGTCTCTGAGGCCCAGAGCTTAGTATGGCCAGAAAGATGCAGAACCCTGGGATGGGCTCCTGCCCTCCACCCAACTGGGTCTCTCCCCACACCAAGAGGCTTTGCCTCCAAGCCCAACCTGGGTTTTAGTGGCATTCACCAATACGTGGAATTATAGATAAAATAATAATCTTTATTTTTAATTGCAAAAACCTTCAGAGTATACTTGTGTTGTGGATTTAAGCTTTTTGCTATATTTGCTTCAGATCTCTCTCTGTGTGTCCATCTCTTTCTTTATTTTACTCTGTCTTATTTTAAGGATATAATTTATTAAGTAAATAGCTGACGTTAAAGTTAATAGTTAATGGGGGACTGCAAATCCAAACCACAATGCCACTCCACACTCATCAGAATGGTCAGAATACAAAAGACAACAGTGAATTCCTTGAGAATGTGTAGCAAGTGAAACTCTCCTGTTGACCGGAATATGAAATAGTGTAACCACTGTGAAAAAAGTTCTGGCACTTTCTTATAACACTAAGCATACATTTATCTTTTGCCCAGCTGTCCCAGCCCTAGTTAGTTATTAAAAAAATTAAAACAAATGGTCACAAAAGAGTTATTCAAGAATGTTCCAAAGCCAACAAACAGAAAGAGCCCTGGTGTCCCTAACAAAAGGATGGATAAAGAATTGGTATTATTTCCTACAAATGAATATTACCCCACAATAGAAATGAAGGAAACACTCAGGAGCATTATGGGGAGTGAAGACAGCCTTTACCCCCAAGGAGCAAATGCTATGTGATTCCATTTACTTCAAACTCTGGAACGAACCAAATCAACCTCCAATAGAAAGAATTAGAACATCTGTTGTCTCTAGACAGGTTGGGATGGGATTTGACCTGGAAAGGGCTGAAGGTTGTTTTCTAGGCAATGTTCAGGTGGGGTAACTTGATAGGGGTTTGGGTTACACAAGTGTATATATCTGTTAAAACTCAGCACACATTCACTTGAGACTTATAAATTTCCCTGTGTGTCAATTTTACATCAAAAGAAAACACTGCAAACAAATGTTGAGCTCTAGTTCAGGATCCACACACACAGAAGGATTTGGGGTTTATGTAGGGCGTCTGCATTAGTCTCAGAAGTGCATAACTAATCAGATGGATTAATGGATGGGCAAAGGGACAGATCAACGATGAAGCAGACAGATGCAGTGCAGTGTCAGCAGTAGCACTTCCCAGTGAGCACATGGGTGTTCATTCTTTCAACTGTGTATTTGAATTTCTTGATAAGAAAAAAGCTAGATGAGTCCTATTCCCTCCCTCTACATAACATCTTTGTCTTGCCTTCCTCCTCAGGGCGACTCTTGTCTTGGAAGTGAAGATGCCACTCAAATTATGGGACACTGCTGCTGTTGTGTATACATAGATCCAAAACCAAATGTTGCTTTGAGAGTTGTTTTTTTGTTTTTAAACAACACAGTGCTTCCTTATCATGTATGTCTTTTTGACTTAAAATAAGCATTACACTTTGGAGTTAAATATAAATCTGATTCTTTTATTTTGACTGCTATTAATATTTCATTGCATATATATGCTACCTTATTCATTTCTATGCTAATGCACTCACTATGAGGTGGCTTCCAAGACATACATATTTAATGTGATTGTTAATGACATACATGAACATAAGGTAAGGCACCCTATAGCAAGACCAGTTTGGGTGATAGTTGGAAGCTAGGGAGACCCAATGTCTTGGGAGACGTTTATGGTCTTCCTGTGAGAGAAGCCAGAAAACACTCTCAAGACCACCTCATTCTTTTCCCCTGGACAGGACTTGCCACCTGGCGTATGTGCTAGGACCCCTGAGCTCTTCACTGTTATGTGTCATGGAGGCAGAGTGAACATGTCATCTGCCTCCCAAAAGGACAGGTACTTTCCCAGGGCACTGATGCTCCCCAGGGCTGGCCTCCCTAATCGTGTGGAGATCTGTGAGCCCTCTTCCCTACCTCTTGGTCTCAATGTTTTGATGTAGCCCAGGATCTTGGGAACATAAATGTGGTCTTCTTATGACACCACTGTGAAACACTTTTTAAAATTATAAATTGCTGAACTTATTCTGTGGAGTAAGCATGAATCACTCTTGGCAACGCAAGGCTGAGTGATATTAACAACTTCAGCGGCAAATCATTGCAATTTGGTTTTGTGCTTCAGGCTTCTTCTTTATTAAGCTCTTCGCTTAACTTCTCATTTCTGAATGCTCCTAACTCATATATTCCTTTTATTTATTCATAAAATATTCATTCAATAAATATTGATACTTTGAGAACTTGCTATGTGGTAAGCCCTACATTAGGCTCCAGGAGTGCCAAGATGAATAAATAAGGAGCCAGCCTCACTGGGGAATGGCAGCACAGTGGGACATTGGAGTGTTTAACCAACCTGGGTGCCCTACCCTAAGGGTGCCTTGCTGTCCTTGGTGGGGTGGGGAACAGTGGGCAAAGCAGAGGCCATGGCATCACATCTCCTTTAAAAGATTTGTCCTTGGTGCTGGCCCCAGTTACTCCACTGCTGAGGATGTGCCCTAGCCTGTGGGGACTCTGTCATAACTCCCTGCTGGATAGTACCAGCCCCAAGGCCCGGAATGCAGAGAATCACTTCCCTTCCTTGGGTCAGGTGCATGCTGAGCCTCCATGGAGGGCTTTGCTATTTTTTGGTGCCCTTGAGGCAGTGCAGGTGGAAAAGGCAGAGAGGTAGTTATAGTCGACAACGGTAGGAAGGGCCTCAGAGACCTTGGTCTTGGACATGCTCCATACATCCGGGATTTGCCTCCTCTGTGCCCTGTCTCTTCCTAGACTTGTGAGCACAGTCCATCTCCAGCCTCCCCTTCTCTGTGAGGAGCCTTCCCTGTTATTCCTTGGGCTTCACAGATGCTGAAGAAAGCTTCCCTGTGCCTCTGAACTGGGGAGGGAGCAGACTCTTCCTGCAGGTGTTGGCAGGGATGGAGCAGGACATATGAAGGCACAGAGTGACAGCACAGCCTGGTCTTACAGGAAAGAACCAGAGTCCCACTAAGGTGGCTTCCGTGATGCTCATTTCAGAGCCACAGCGTTCAATGGTGGCCTGTGATCCAAGAGAGAGACCAGCTCCAGTTAGGTGTTGTGGGGCTTGCCTTTTTTTCTCTCTATTGGTAGAAAGAGGTCATCTCACATTACCTAGCACAAGAGGAACAGATATAAACACATTTTACTTGTTTCTTCTCTTCTCGTTCTATGCAGTCTGTGCTAAGTTGTGGTCATCTTTGAAAATTCCAACTGTAGTCAGCAGATGAAAGGGCAAAGAGTGTTTTAGTGAGTTTTATGCAACTACAGTGAGGTACCTGAGCCAGCTAACTTATGAAGAGAATTGCCAGAGAGTGCCATTCATCTGCTTTGTGAGGGAACCCCACCATGACCCAGGACTCATGGGAGCCTCCACCTCCCAGAGATTCCATAACATTTCCTCATAGCTCCACCCTGGGGACCCAGCCTTTGGCACTAGGGACCCTTGGGAGGCACTTGGATTATATCCAGAGCAAGGAGACTCAAACTGGATCCTTGGCTTCCAGGGTGTTCTTTTACCCATTCAATGGGCATTTCCTGAATCTCTGCCAGCGGCCAGGCATGAACAAGAGTTAAGATGGTCAGCAACTGTGGCACTGCTTATCTTTTGGTAGGGAAGGTAAGGCAGCTTGGGGAGAACTGACAGTACATATGAAGGCACCCAGCCCATTCTGGGGGACAGAGAGCTAGCTAGGAAGGCTTCCCAGCATAAGAGATGCTAATTCAGAAGATGTCTTAGTCCATTTGTGTTGCTGTAATAAAATGGCATATACTGGTGGCTTGTAAACAATAGGAACATATTTCTCACAGTTCTGAATGCTGGAAACCTAAAATCACCTTGCCAGCAAGTTCTTGGTCTGATGAGGGCTGCCTTCTAGACCACTATATTTTCTCTGAAACCTCACATGGTAGAAGGGGTGAGTAGTCCCCTCCAGGGCCTCTTTTATAAGAGCACTAGTCCCATTCATGAGGACTGCACCTTCAAGACCTAATCCTCTCCCAAAGATTCCCCCACCATGGTAACATCACATGTGGGTTAAGAGGACAAACATTCAGACCGCAGTACTCTACTAGCTCCTTCAAATTTATACCCTTCTCTCTTGCAAAACCCATTCATTTCATGCCAATAACAACAAAATCTTAACTATTTCCAGTTATGAAAACATCAACTCAAAAGTATAAAGTCCCGTCTCACCTAATATCTAAATCAGATACGGGTGAGCCTCACAGTGCAATTCATTCTGAGGCAAATTCCTCTAGCTGTGAGCCTGTGAGATCAAATGGGTCATGTACTTCCCAAACACAAGAGAACTGTAGTCATGGGCTAGATATCCCATTCCAAAGGCTGCAGAATAGAACACCGAGGCCACGGGATTAAGAAATGCTCAAATATTCAAAATAATATTAAATAACATCCAGCAATAAAATTGGGCTCCACACAATTAAGTACCACTTTGATGATTCATAGGGTTCTTTGAAACGCTTGAAGGAACTAAGTGAGAAAGTGTTAGAGACAGTCAGGGGGTAGAGCCAGATATTTGCGTCTGGGGCAGTTCTCAGCTTGGATAAACAGAAACGTGCGACACAGCAGAGTAACCCCCAGGAGATGGGACAGCATGGAAGTCGCAGCCTCAGTATCTACGTGGAGGAGTTTCAGGGTAGCCCAGTTGTACACTGGTCCTCCTACACCAGTGCTGTCCTGTGATCTGTGTGGATGAACTGGCAAGACAGAACCTCCTAGCCATAAGGAAGGAGTTACAGGTCCCAAGCTAGTTCAAAACCCAACAGGGCAAACAACGTTAAGGCTTGTGAACAGCCCTTTTCAGCTTGATGCTCCTCCTTCAGCTCTATTGGGCAGGGATCCCCCATTTCAGATC